GGTACAAAAAAAAAAAAAAAAAAAAAAAAAAACGAGAATGTTGCCTGTACCATTTAGCTATCTGACCTTTAGTAAGTCACAGTTCCTGTGCCTTTTTCTTACAAGGACAAGGCAACTACAAACTTTAGTTATACTTAATAACTTTATGACTTTCTTCATTAAGTGACTATAAGGCAGGTAAGCTCCCTCTAGGCAAAGCTCCATATCCCCATCATTCTCAACAGTGACTGGCACAATTGAGTAATTCTGGTAAATAACTGAAGTTATCGCCTTTTTTCCCAAGAGAAAAACTGCTAATACATTTCTAATAGAAAGGACAAATGAAAACTCTGGCCTTGTTTCAGTGTTAAAATTTTTTCATATTTTCTTTGATGCAAAATGTTAATCATAGGTCACTTCTATAAATATAACAAAATATACCCTGTAATCTCAGCACTGAGGGAGGGTAAAGAAGAAAGATTCCAAGTTTGAGTTCTGCTCAGGCAACTTAGTAAAACAACAAATGAAAAAAGAAAAAAAAACAAAACCGCTGGGAATATAGCTCACTGGCTCAGTGGTAGAGCCCCTGGGCCTAATCCTTAGTACCACAAAGCCAAAAACAAAACATATACATATATATCTATGATTTTTATTTATTTTTGGCTTTTTGAGACAGGGTCTCACTATGTAGTTGAGACTGACCTGGAACTCACTATGCAGCCCTGGCTGGTCTCCAACGCACAGCGATCCTCCTGCCTCAGCCTCCTGAGTGCTGGGATTACAGGAGTGCGCCATCACACCCAGCTCTCTATGATTTTTATGAGAAGAAAAAACATGGAAAGATGCAGGCTTGAGTGTAAACATGCTGAAAAGGACTGCAGGAGGGGAGGAGACAGAAAGGGGGTGCATTGGAAAGGCAAGCAGGCGAAAAGAATTCTTACAGAAACAATATTCTAAATGGTAGATTTTCAAAACAATCACAAAACTTCAACCCAATCATGGCTAAGTAATAAAAATGTAAGTTTTTCTGTTGAGTCCTGTTCATAGAGGCAATACACACAATAATCCCAATTTTCTGAAACTAAACTACAATCAAAGAATTTTTGTGCTGTTTCCGAGCATAGATAAGCCAACTGAAACAACCAAGATATTAGAATTGCAGAACACTTCACTATTGCATAGGGATAATGAAGCAGTATGGATAATGCTTCTAATTTGAGATACGTAATGACTACAGAATGAAGCATAGGATGTAGAGAACTTTTCATTTCCAATTCACCCTTGACAGCACCCCCAACTTATCCTGGTGTCTCAGGAGCATACCATTCTACCATAGCAAACCTCCCCATCTCCCAATTGCTACCCTGTCATACCAAAATGTTCCATGCTATTTTTTTTCTCTTAACAAAACAGTCCTTTGCTGTGCTCACTTCAGCAGCACATTCACTAAAACAGTCCTCTGCAAAAGCTGGTTAATAATCAAGGACAGGATAATCAATACAAATCTATTAATGAGTAAACTTCCAAAATTTTGCTTTTGGAGGATAGGGAAATTAAATTAGTTTTAAAAAGAGTTTTGTGGGGTTTTTTTTGGGGGGGTTTGTTGTTTTGCTTTTTTTTTGTGGACCTGGGGATCAAACCCAGGGCCTCCTATATGCACAAGGGCTTTACCAGTAAGCTGTACCTCCACACTTAAGAGGTTGCTTTATTTAACCTAAATCCTGTATATTAACCATGATCCTATGAAATTTCAAAACATTAAGCAACAGGGAATGAAAACAGGACTTGTGTGACTATATAAAGAATTAAAAGGGCTGGGGATGTAGCTCAGCAGTACCATGCCTGCCTGGCAAGCGCAAGGTCCTATCTTTGATCCCTAGTACTGGGGGTGGGGGGAGTGCAAAAGAACTAAAACCACATTGAAAATGCTGTAATAGGGCTTGGGAATTAGCTCAGTGGTGCCACTACCTGACTTGCAAGTGAAAGATCCTGAGTTCAATCTCTGGTACAAAAAAAAAAAAAAAAAAAAAAAAAAAAAAAAACAAAAAAAAAAAAAAAAAAAAAAAAAAAAGAAAGAAAGAAAGAAAGAAAAGAAGGAAGATTCCATAATAATTACTGTATGTCTATAATCCCAGCACTTGGGAGACTAAGGCAGGAGGATCATTGCAAGTTTGAGGCCAGCCTGAGCTACATAGTGAATTCAAGGCCAGCTTGAACTACATGGCAAGACCCTGTCTCAAAAATACCAAATAGTAGTAGTAATAGGAATAGTAGTAGTGATTACTGTTACAGTATATAACTTTCTATGAAAGCACCATACTGTGTACTCATTTTCCTTTTAAGACTGAGTACCATTTACTGATTTGCCTATACAAAAAATTCTGAACACAAATGAGGAATCTTTGGTGCAGGCCTGGCATTAAATTCCATATGCATGCTCTACCTGGCCAGCAAGCTCATTTGGTTCAGAGTCCTAGCTAACAGGTACTACCAATGAAAGTATTAATATTGGGAAAAAAACAAAAAAAATTATTTTAAGCACTGAATAAAATTTGGCAACACATCCATTAATTGTTCAAGGAAGCAGTGAATTAAGTCAAGAACTGTTTAAAGTTTAAATATCAAGCAGTTCAAAACACTTTTGGAGATGGTTATTCCTAATTGTAGGCATCATCATAGAGTGTAGTCACTAAACTCTGCATTTTCTAAGCTGGTCTCACCAGCTTAGTAAGCAGCAGTCTTGGCATTTATCACACACCCCATGTCCTAATTTTTGTTTGTTTTTTTTGCAGTATTGGGGGTCAAAGTGACCAGGGCCAAGGCTTGGAATCCTGGCCAAGCACTGTACCATCAAACAACATCCTTTGCCCTTTAAAGTTTTCAGACAGGGCAGTT